CTGAAATTTTCTGGGATCCTTTTCTTCGCTTCACTGCCTTTAGCAAGATTTCTTTCATGGTGACCTTTGTGTTGTCCACCTGAATAAGGGAGAATCCGTGAGCAGCATTTCTGTAGGAAAAGACAAATATTAAATTGTCACCAACATTCAACCAGAGATGTTAACACAATCTTCATGGAGTTTAAGAAAGTTTTAAAGTAAATGTATATCAAAGTGCCAATTCTTTAAAAATAGACTGAATAATCTCTTTCTAGAACAGAATGTGGAATGGAATGTGGCAGGAAGGCATTCTATGTGAGCGCTTCTGAGTGAAACAGAAGTCAGGGTAGGGGAGGTTTCTGTCATTTAGCTCCAGTTGAATGTACTTGTGTGGGTCAGTAGTACCACGAGTTCCTTGTGTTGGCACCCGAGCCAAATTGTGCAGCAGGGTTGACAGTCAATAAACATGGCTGTGTCAGTAGCTGTCACCACAGGCAGGTATTAATATCATAATAAGCTCACAGAGCCCCAGAAGGAAACAGTCATGGAGGGTGGGGAGAAAGATACCTCAGAGCAACTGGACCAAGAAGAGACTCTTCCTAACTGGCTAGTGAAATAAATAAACAAACACACATATTTAAATATATAGTCTGTGTACCCTTTACTAGGAATGGTTTAGTCTACTTAGTCCTAGGAAGTCAAACAAAATATTAGGTAAAGCACAAATAACAGTAAGACAAAATATTGGGTCATTAGGAAAGTCATGACATATTTTTACATAGGAAAACAGAAAAATACCTCATGACTATCCTTATGGCTTAATATTAGCACTGCTTATAAGCTTCTAGTCAGTCAGCTCGGTGGGAAGATAGGGAAAAACAGCTAAGGATCAAGTACTCTAAAAACAGACGCCCATCTCCTGGGTGAGGAGTAACTTCACCAAGACTGTTAATTGCAATAGCGAGTATCACAAATACTACTCAGTACGCTTGGGCACTGGAACAAAACAGACCAATTCCAAGAAGCTCATGTAACAAACAGTACCCAAGTTTCCAACTATGGAACATGGGAATTGCCACAAGGAGTTTGGTCGCATTCCCATTTCCCCATAAGAATCTCAAAGGGAAACGTGGCCAAAAAATATGGCAGAACTTCAGACTGACAAGAAGTCTGAAAGAAAAGCCAGGCCCCAAGCTAAGCCCTGGAAAGTCTTCCCAGTGGTAGGACAGGCTGGGAAGGGACCTGAAGCCTAGGTTGGACCCAACCAGGTAGCTGGCTCTCCTTAGGGGCTGGGGACCAATCTCAAAACCAAAGCCCAATTTGCTTCCCTAATACAGAGACATCTCTACAACCCTCTTCTCTACATGGCTTGCTGTTTAATCCTTGACATTCCATTTGTTAAAACGCAAAAGCTGATGCTGGTCTGGCCAGCATGATCATCCATTTTAACTTGGTCAAGTTCTTGCTATCGAACAGCAGGCCTGAGAACTGTCAAGCTAATTTTACTGAACACTCTGTTACTGAATCATGCCTGAGTCCCAGCCATTCTTTACCTCAGAAGCTGGACCCCATCCCAGAACAATCTTTAAAAGTTTATTTTACTGATCAAAGCAAAATAAGAAATAGCTCTTTAAAAAAAAAAAAAGACTATATTTAGGGAGTGATGCAGTAAGTGACACTTTGGCAGAAGTGCTGAAATGTAAAGTGCTTTGTGCATTTATAAACTTGGGGGTATTTGCTCTGGCGCTAGGCCATGTGTGTTTGGAACAAATGCCAATCAACCGCGTTCAGATTTGCCTTCCCCTGCTTTCTCCTCAGAAGTCAGCGCGCGCTCCATCTGTGACAATATGTTGGGCAATGGGTGAGTAGGGCCTACGAGGAACACAGGCCCTTGGGCGCTCACAAACTAGTACCGGCCTAGGCCTCACGACGTCCTCACCACGGTTCTAGCGGAGCTCTCCTAGGTCTGGGTCTGCTTGAGTTGCTGACGCCCTCTCCTAATCTGTGCTGGCTGGCAGCATTACTTCAGTCCTGTATGTTTATCTTTTTCCGCAAAGGCGGGCTAAAAGCTCAAAAGGAAGCCTTGTGTTTGGACTAACTTCCATAAATTAAAAATGTCCTTTTAAAAGATTTTTGAACAGAGGAAAATCCCCAGTCTGTATTTTTCTGTCATTTTACCAAAACGTACCTGGGTGACAAGGTTAAAGCAAGCAGAGGAAATCCCTGGCACTTATCATCCACAGGCATTACTGATAAATTGTGCGGTGGAGGAATAAAGGATTACCTTCTGTATTTTTTCATTACACTTTTCTTTTGTTACAGAATACATAAATCCATTGTGGCACAATGTAATATGTATCACCAGCGCACACCTGCGGACGCTTCCGAGCGGCTGCCATGTCTGTGCAGTCAGGAATGATAAGTGAACCACCCGTGAATGTTAACGATAGTGATCATTCCGAGGTAACTCGGCTCTCCATCTTCCTTTACAGCCTCCGTGCTGAAGCCAGGCTAGCAAGGTTCACGGCAGGAAAATGAAAACAACAGTGAAGGGAAGGTGCCTTCGCGAGTGTGCACTCTCTGACTTGGGGGCTCCATCTCTGTAAAAATGTGCACGTTAAGAGGAGAAAGAGGTTCGGTCCCACATCCTCACACACTCAGCCAGACCTAACGAAAGTCGCTCAGTCCTGATCGGGGTCACCCCACATGCCACCCCACTCCCTCCAGACAGACGCCAACTCCAGCCCTTATCCTCGCCTACAGCACTTCGAGGGGGAAAATGGACACGGTTTTCTTTGTGGAGTAATACACGTGTGCGCTTCTAACATAGAAGAGTATAGAACATAAGTGGTGATCAGCATCCATCTAGGTGCGACTGTTAAGTTAAGCCCCCATTTAATAAATGGGAACGGAGACTTGCTACTACAATTTTCAGCTTGACTTCCAAACATTCTGGGTTTTATGCCTCATTTCTTTATGTCTAGGATTTTTTATGGGCTTTCTAAAAAGTCTATTGAAATACACCTTTTAAATCTGCTTTTACTTCATATAGGGCATTGGGTCTGAGACTGAGAAGGCAATAATCTTGCGAAAGGCTGGCAGGGGGATGGCATGCCACGAGTCCCACCTCACCTCCATGCAGTGCCGTGTGCTGACTCTGAGCTGGGACCCGTGCTGGGTAATTAGCCTTGGACACGTAGGTGGGCAATGCACAGGACCTGTCTCAGCCCAGAGAGGCTCCTCGTGCTGCCCCCTCGAGGACAGCTGCTCACTGTCCTTCAGGCAGGGCACTGGATGGGCAATGAGTAAAAAAGCTGCCTTCTCACACCTCCTGGGGCAGCCTGTGCTGAGTGAGGATGAAGAATTGCTTCAGAGAGGTGACTAAATGCTGCCAGGAGTGCTTCAGTTAAAGTTAGGTCCTGTTCGGTCTCAGAAGCATTGAAAAACGTACGGGATTTTAAAGAGAGATTACTCAGTTGAGAAGTTCAGCTATGCCCCACCCCCCCACTCCCCACGCAAAACCATTCAGTTACCAGTTTCTATACCAGCAATGTCCCGGAAACATGGGCATTTCCCTACCAGGCAGTAAACACGAGGTGACGGAGACACAGAGGAAACACAGGTCTTCAGTGGAATAGCTTAGGTTCTATTTATAGGCACAGAGCTGGAACCAGCATCCAAGGTGGAAGGCAGCATCTTGGAGAGGAACGTGCATGGGCTGGGAGCGCAATGCCCTTTCACTGAAATTCTGCTTCCATGGCTGAGCAAAACGCTGCCTTAAATAACATGTGGGAACCTCGGCTGTACCCATGAGGTGGGGAGGCCACTTCCCTGCAGAACTGTCACGGGATAAAATAGATAACGAACACCAAGCACATGGCGCTAAAGCGGGCACATCGTAATAGGAGCTCACCGAGATCGGTTCTATCCCCCTTGTCCCCAGTCATCGGCCCATTTGGCCATTTGCCCCTCTTCCCACCTGGGTGGAGATTGCTTTTGTGGGGGAATGGATCAATACCCATTGCATGCAACTGGGAACACGGGAACTACAAGTGTAATTTGCTGGGCTTGGTGGCAAGACTCAGGGGCACTCCCAGTGAGCAGCCTCTGGCTTGGGCATGGAAACTTTCTGAAGTTCAAAGGAGAGCACTCTGGTCTCAGTTTTCAGAGCTTTCTTTGAGAGTATGAACCACAGATGCAGGTAATGTTCCACCTCACCGAACTTGTCAGGGGGTAGTGGGGGGCCAGCAGGTGGGTGGTAGCTCGGGCACTGGATTCCCATATGGCTGACCATTATTTGAGTTCCAGACCTGGCAGCTTGCTTTCTCACTTTCTCTCTCTCCCTTTCTGGTGAGTAGACAGCCCTATAACAAAATTTACAATAATAATGAAAATAATAAAAAATAAATAAATCTTTTTAAAAATCATGGTGGTGGTGTACAGACTCAGATTTACTAAGTGCTTTTCAACTTCTGTGCACAGTACATGCTGACCGCGATAAAAGCAGCGGCTTCTACTTACTGAACACATAACACTTACTACGCGTCAGGTGCTATTTCAAGCTTTAGAAAAGAAATCAGTGTTACCTCACTCAATCCTAAAATAGGTGTCATTACTATACCCATTTATGGAACCGGAGGCTAGAGGCATTCAGGAATTCACCTGGGGGCACTCAGCTATTAAAGAGCCTAGTTTAGATTCAGAAACCAACAATGTGGTCCCTACCCTAAGTAGCACAGCCCAGAGGAAGAGAAAGATGAACATTTACAGCTCCGGGACAAGCACAGAGAGGAGGCAAGCTCAGAGTGCTGTCAAAGTCTGCCTCAGCCAGGTAGGGGTAAGGGAGCCAGAAACACCACTTAGTGAAGATGATGTCTCAAACACAGTCATTGTTTAGTGCTATATGGTGCTAAGAAAGATGGTGGTCTACCAGGAGGCAGCAGAGCACAGCAAGTGACAGGATGGTGGGGCCTGGCTTGGATCCCAGCTCTGCCTCTCTTGGGTAAATGGCACACTCACCCTAACTTGTCCTCATCTACAACATGGGGATAATAATCAGTCTTAGATCGTAATATTGGTGAGGTGAAATTCTTCTGAAGCATTTACCATAATACCTGTCATATAATGAATG